TGGTGATGGGTATTAAAGAGGGCACGTTCTGCATGGAGCACTGGGTGTTATACGCAAACAATGAATCATGGAGCACTACATCAAAAACTAATGATGTAATGTATGGTGATTAACATAACATAATAACAAAAAAAAGATGTAATGTGTGGTAATTAACATAACATAATAAAGTTTTTTAAAAAACAGTTATCAAAATGAAGTGAACCTTTAAAATTTATGTCCACACAAAAACCTGTACATGGATATTGAAAGCATCAAGATATTTATTTATAATTACTAAAACCTGGAATGAACCAAAATGTCCTAAAGTAGGTGAATGGATAAACTGTGGCATTACTAGACAATGAAATATTCAGTGATAAAAAGTAAAGAGCTATCAATCTATGAAAAGACGTGCAAGAACCTGAAGTGCATATTACTAAGTGAAAAAAGCCAACTAAAAAGGCTACATTATATCCAACAATATAGCATACTGGAAAAGGCAAATCTATGGAAACAATAATGGGGCACCTGGGTGGCTCAGTCAGTTAAGTGTCTGCCTTGAGCTTGGGTCATGATCTCCATGTCCTGGAATAGAGTCCTGCCTCAGGCTCCCTGGTGAGCGGGAAGTCTGCTTCTCCTTCTCCCTCTGCTCCTCCCCACTGCTCTTGTTCTCTCTCCCCACCCCCTCTCATAAATAAATAAATAAATAAATAAATAAATATATAAATAAAAGTAATCTTTAAAATCTATGGAAACAGTAAAAAGATCAATGGTTGCCAGGATTTGGGAGTAAGAGGAGGGATGAACATGTCGAGTATAGAGGATTTTTAGGGCAGTGGAAATACTCTGTATGATACTATAATAATGGATACGTATCATTTTACATTTGTCTAAATCCACAGAAAGTACAAAAAGTACACAAAAAGTAAATTGTAAGGTAAACTCTGGGCTTTGGTAATTATGATGTATCAATGTAGGTTCATCATTTATAATAAATGTACCACTTTTGTGGGGGATGTTGATGATGGGGGAGGCTATGCATGTGTGGAGGTAGGAGGAATATAGAGGAATACGGAAAATCTCTGTACCTTCCTCTCAATATTGCTGTGAACCATTTTGCTCTAAAAAAAACTCTTAGAAAAATAAAAAATGAAATGAACCAGATTTTAAACGTTTTTATGAAATATAAAATGAAAGTTTAAAAAAATAATGAGCACTACTACTACCACATTGCTATCATCAAAATTACATTGTATCAAATGAATGAAAAAAAGTTGTAAATAAAATGTTTTTAAATAATGTTTATTTCACCTTTAGCTCATCCTTTAAAAGTGTTCATGTTTCTAAATGGACATTACTAATGTAGCAGTAATTTATATAATAAATAAATATATTGAACTAAGTAAATATCTTCTATAAGTAAATATACATATTTATGATGCATGTGCTAAATTTTCACTTATAGGTATGAGTCATCAAGTTGAAAATTATTATGCTAATAAGTTCATACTAAATACATTTGGTGGTTACACTGCAAGTTAAAACTACATAAAATAAATGCTTATCAATTTGATATCATCACTTTTGCAAGAATTTTATGACAGGTAATCAGGTTTTGATTTGTCATCATTTCAAATTGCCACTCAAAAATGTCATAAAATAATGGTTACTAAGGGAGCCCAGAATCTTTCCATTTTGGAAACATACAACAGACATTTTTAAATACCACTTTTTCTAAAAGGTAACTGAATTTTAAATATTGATCTTTAAAAGTGACAGGAACATTTGAGATATCATTTATACTTCCTTAGAGTGCAGGGAATTCTATTTGCTTGTTATCTTAACACATATCCCCTCATTTCTTGCTGTGAAAACATCCAAATACAATTTTCTAAATGTATTAGCAACAGCTAGAAAACCTCTGGTTTTGTTTCTCCATGGTTGTTGTGTAATGGACATTTTTGGTGAGTAGAAAGACTAGTCACCAGCAAAAGTTGTACATGTTTTTAGTAAATGGGTAATGAATTACAAATAATGCTCGAAATTTTATTTTTCTTTGATAGAAAGTATTCTTCCCATCTCAAATCATGCTATTTATTTATGTTTGTGTGTGTATTTGTGGCTAGTTGACATACACAGCATTATTCCTTTTAAAAATGCAAGTGAAATAAGTCAGAGAAAGATAAATACCATATGATTCTACTCACATGTGGAATCTAAAAAGCAAAACAAAGAAACAAACAACCAAAAACCAGATTCTTAAATACAGAGAACAAACGGGTAGTTGTCAGAGGGGAGAGGTGGGTGGGGGGAATGGGTGAAATAGATAAAGGGGATTAAAAGTACAAACTTCCAGTTATAAAATAAAGAAGTCACAGAGATGAAAAGTACAACATAGGAAATAGGGTGAATAGATTGTAGTAACATTTGGTGACAGATGGTAACTACACTTATCACGATGAGCAGAGTAATGTACAGAATTGTTGAATATGTTGTAGACCTGAAACTAATAAAACACTGTATGCTAATTATACTTCAATAAATAAATAAATATATATATATATATATATATATATATATATATATATATATATTCCACTTACCAAACTATTCCCTGAGCCCCAGAGCCAATAGGCTTCAAATTCTGGTAGCGCTTGAGAACTGTGAAGGTTGAGTCTCCGACTTCCACACTATAGAATTGGTTGTCAACTTTGCTTTTGCTCATGTTGTAATGTTTGGCAATATATGACACATCCACTTGTTTATCGAATCCCTGCAAAAAGAACAACAAAAACATGAGAAAGCGAACAACCAGAATGATAGCAAGATATAGAAAAGCCTGTTCTTTTAATGATTACTAATTCATAGTCATCTATTATCATTATATAAATATATTTCATATAAAAAGGTATGTATTAATCCATGTAAGATAATCTAGAGTAAAAGAACTCAGAAAAATACATAGAAAAATTTGTTTTCAGTATTAAAACTATTAATAATAAAATAATCTTACATTAGATCTACATAATCTTTTCTGAAATGTTTCATTAAAACCATTTAATTATTTATGAAGCAAATATCTACCAAACATACTGGACCCATTGACTATGCTAGAAACTTCAGAGGTGATTCCTGATCATCCATTATAACAGCCAAATGAGAAAGGATAAGAGATTTTATTTATATCCCTTTCTCAGAAAGAAATGAGATACAAAATAATGTGTAGTTTTAATTTTTAATTAGATAAATTTGAATTCAATAGTGTTGACTTCATTTGTTCTCAATAATACCAAAAATGGTAGTATCTTACATTAAACATTGAACAATTTTAGCCCAAATTAATATTATTATAAAATGCCACATGACATCTTTTCATTCTTTGCAAGCTTAGATTTAAATATCTTGATTGTGTATCTTTTATATTTAAGAGAAGTTCTTCTACCTATTATATTTAGCAATTGAAGAATCTGTCCTTAAAATTTTGAATCATGATTTATGAATATATGTAATGTAAATATCCATTATCCATGATTATACAAACAAATAAACTTATATCGCATTTTGTGACATTAAATAGTTTCAACTCTCTAACTAGAAAGGACCTTATAGAATATTGTCTAGCCTGTTTCTTGTGGCACACCCTGGTGGATGCCTACCCAACGGTCATTCCCTCTCCTTTTTGCTGATTTTGCTCAGGTTTTGAGCATTCTCATGTTCTGTGGGTTCATTCCCAATCCCCAAAATTGAAAATGGAATAGTCTAAATCAATGGTTCTCTTTAGAAGTGGCACTAACTCTTCCTAGACATCTGGGAGATTTGTGGGCATGTTTTGGTATACCATATGGTAGGAGATGTGGCTTGTATTTAGTTGGCTTATCAAACAATGCTGGTTGTCCTGCAATGAGTGGGACATTCATGAATAATTTCTTACACAATGAATAATTTCTTACATAACTCATGACTTTTGAGTTATGCCAAAGCTTTAATTAGTAAACAAAAGAAAACAAAAACCCTGCCTTTAGTGTTCTGAGTCCAGAATCTAAACTAAAGGATCTTTGTATGGTTTTAATACACATTGACTTCTGAAAATCTGATTCTCACATAATTTGAAAGAAGATTTAGACCTCCTTTGGCTCTGAACCTCTGGTTGGTCATAAAACCACTGTCCTTAGAAATTTTTGGCATTTCATTTCTAAATAATAATAATTAAAAAAAAACTGAAATAGAAGTACAAACTAATTTGTCCCTACATGCTCTTGGAAAGGGAACCAGGCAGCACCAAGTAATATAAACAAGGAGAGTATAGTGGGTACTATATGGATGTGAGTGGCAAAACCTATGAATCTAGTGCAAGGACCTTATGACAGACTTAAAGCAGAATGCACATGACCGGCACCAGCCTATGACTAGAAGACTTATGGTGGCAGCAATCCAGTACAAATATACACAGACCTCAAAGAACAGAATGGACTAAAGATGAGGAATATAGGTTGTTTGGACAGAAGACTGAAAATTCAGGTAATTTATGAGTACAGTAAGGAGAGGTCTGAAATCCAGGAGATAGTCGGAAAGCATGGAACAGGAAATTAAACAAGATTATCAAAAAACAGGATTGGGGTGCCTGGGTGGCACAGTCGGCTGAGCATTGGATTCTTGGTTTCTGCTAGGGCTCCAAGCTCAACGGAGTCCACTTCAGACTCCCTCGGCCCTTCCCCCACCATGCACATGCTCTCTTTCTCTCTCTCAAAATAAAATATATAATCTTAAAAAACAAACAAACAAAAACACAAAAAAACAGGGCATCGTAAATCTATTCGGGGAGACTATAACAGGATTTAGAATTTAAACAATGAGTGTAGACTACAGCAGAAACAAGAACATTAGTATTAAACAATCCTTGATTTCAAGCACAGAATCAGGAACTTCTCTCCACGCCACAGTCCATTTCTACTCTAGGCTTTTTTGGTGTATCAGCAGACTAACCCTATTAAAAAGTCCTTCTTTTTTTCTTCCTAACTTTGAAAGGTAAAAAAGTAACTGAAAAATTTAATAAATATGAAAACAACAAACAAACAAAAGTAACTAGAGCTAGACTACCAATGAATTCATTGCCAAGGTTAATTTGGTATGGATGAAGTGCCTGACTTCATTTGCCGTGTTCTAATCCTTTTTTACATCCCTTAATGTTCTCATTTCTGACCACCCACAAAATTCTTTTTTTTTTAAAGATTTTTATTTTATTTATTTATTTGAGAGAGAGAGAATGAGAGAGAGCACATGAGAGGGGTTAGGG